ACGCCTCGACGCGCGGAGCGCCCCGGGGGCCGGCGCCGGAGGCGCCACAGGGGTTGAGCAGGGACCGACCGTCCCCGCATTCCTATAGTCCTACCACGACATGTCCTTAGAACCCAAAAATGTTCTGAGAACAAAAACAATTTTCTTAGAACATAAACCCGATGTGTTAAAACAAGACAGTCTCAACCAAAAATATTCTAAAAACATTTCGTGGAAACCACAAAAGGTTCTTAGAACATTGTTTGGTGGGGCTATAGGCGAGCCAGGACGCTTCGCCACTGCTTGAAGGGGGATCCAGCGCCGACACAGGAGATCCGACCGGATCTCCGAGAGGTTATGCACCAGATGCTTTTCGCCCTCGAGCCGGGGCGAGGACGAGTCCCGAGCCTCGGGTCGTAGCCGAAGAACGGGTCACCCATGTGTGACCACGGCCCCGGCGACGGGACGCCAAACATGCCTCCCTGCCGCAGATCTCTCTTTCTCTCGCGCTCTCCCTCTCTCGGGCGCAGGAGTTTTCCACGGCCGCTCTCCCCATCCAGCCTCTCTCTGGCACTCCCCTGACGTCCCCTTGGGTTTGCCAAAAGGCAGCCCTGATCGGATGGACGGGAAAATGCGCCTGGACCAAAACAGATCCTGAGCGTCTCCAGCGGTCGGTCTCGAGAGCATCGCCAGAGCACCAAAATGAGTAGGTGTGAACAGCAACTGCGGACAATACTCTATTTTCTGGTCAAACCCTCCATCCATCGTCTCCGCCCTCCTTCAAGCCTTGCTCGCTCGCTCCCTCTCTCCCTCTCTATTCCCCCCCTCCGTGCGTGCGCGAGTCCGTCCGTCCAAGCACCCACCTGGACGTTCACAAACACATTCACTCGTGCACCGATCCCACCCTGCTCAACCCCTGCTTGCAATACCAGTCTGTGCGCCCTCCATCGTCCATGTCTGTCTCTATCCATCGCTTTCTCTGGCTCTCTCGCTCTCTCTTTCTCTCTCTCTCTCTCTCTCTCTCTCTCTCGCTCTCCCTCTCTATCTCTGCATTCCCCTTCCCAACCCCATCAGTCCATCTACGCATCCCATGGAAAGATCATGGGATCATGACTGTGCTGAGATGCGGGCGAAGAGGACGAGCGAAAGATAAGACACATAGGTTACTACCCCTCCTCCTCCTCCTCCTCCTCCTCCTCCTCCTCCTCCTCCTCCTCATCATCATCATCATCATCATCATCATCATCATCATCACCACTACCACCACCACCACCACCACCATCATCATCATCATCATCATCATCATCATCATCATCATCACCACCACTACTACCACCACCACCACCACCACCACCATCATCATCATCATCATCATCATCATCATCATCATCATCATCATCAGCATCATCATCATCATCATCATCATCATCATCATCATCATCATCATCATCATCATCATCCGGCATCATCAGCAATCACATCAGCATCAGCATCAGCATCAGCTCATCATCTATTCATCATCATCATCATCATCATCACAATCATCCTCGTCATCATCATCATCATCATCATCATTCATTCATCATCATCATTATCATCACTCATCATCACCATCACACATCACCATCACCATCATCCTCACATCATCAGCCACATTTTCATCATCAGCATCATCATCAGCATCCTCATCAGCATCAGCACCATCATCATCATCATCATCATCATCAGCATCAGCATCATCATCATCATCAGCAGCAGCAGCATCCTCATCAGCATCATCATCATCATCATCATCATCATCATCATCATCATCATCATCATCATCATCATCGTCCTCCTCCTCCTCCTTCTCCTCCGCCTCCTCCTCCTGCTCTTCCTCCTCCTCTTTCTGGTTGTGTTCATCATGCTGCCCCCTGCAACGGGGAGAAGTCCACCAAACGCCGACACTGTCGATATGAGGCGCGATCGGACATAACTCGACGACCAACAAAATCGATGCAGGTGCCCTAGGTGAGCTCCATGCCCACTCGCGCAGCCCGGCGCGCGCGGGTGGAGGAGAGAGAGAGAGAGAGAGGCCAGGAGCAGGGAGGGGAGCTGCAGCAGGTGGAGGAGGATAGGGTAGGAGGACGAGGACGAGGACGAGGACGGCTCCCCACTCCACCCCCGCTGCCGTACGGCGGCATGAAGCCCGCCGCGTCGAAGGGCGACCCTGTCCATATCGAGTGGGGGCTGCCTCCGCCTCTGCCGCCAGGGTCCGTGTGGGCGCGGAGCACCTCGGCTCGGCCGAGCGAGGGAGGCGCCGGGACCCCGCCCGCCACCGCACCGCCTGCCCCCACCCCCAGAGCCGCCTCGTGCTCCTCGCCCTCCTCCTCCTCCCAGGTCCTTCCGCGGGCTCCCTGTCGGCTACGAGCAGGCCCGACGTCGTTCCCTGCGCCTCCGCGTGACGCTCGAGGGACGCTCCGCTACGTCGCTCCGACCCGACGGGGGGGGGCGCAAGCTGCACGACCGAAGACGTGCCCGGAGCCAAGCCTGCTGCAGGGTGTGCGCCGAACGACGCGCCAGGCACACGTGCAGTGAGAGGAGGGCAGGGCGCGACTGGGCCCGCCTCCTCCGATGATCGCGCGACTCCGCGCCTCGGGGGGGAGCGGGGCGCCGCGCCGCAGAAGCCGAGGGGTACAGACAGCAATTCCGCGAGTAGGGCAGGCAGTGGTCGGCAGCGGCGCCCGAAGGCACGGGTGCTCCTTACCATGCGACCGCCGGCGTGCGCGAGAGGGCTGGGTTGGCTAGCGGCAGCATGCGGAGCGCAACAAGGGGCAGTGGCGGCGGGCGAGGCGGTCGTCACGCGCAGTGTGGGTGGCGAAGCGGAGCCCTCCCGATGCCATCAACGACAACAAACATGATCGACCCACGAACCAGGAAAGGAGTATAGAAATGCGAGGCACGACAACGCTTTCAACACACCTGATTGGGCGACGGGCGATTGCAATGCTGAGTGTATCGATCTTGATGGACCGTGCCAAAGGCTGTGCTATGCTGCGTCGTGTTGACTTGTGATGTGCCATGCTGCGATTGTTTTCTGTAGAAGTGTGGACCGAGTCCTCCTTTGCATCTAAATCCTGACCGAACTGATCTGGATCTTAAGCTCGAGCTACCTGAGCACATAGTAGCTGCCCCAGAGCTAATTGACAGGGGGGACGCGCCGCGGAACGTTCCAAGGGACGTGCCAGGGGACGTGCCAGGGGACGTGCCATAGGCACGCACGTGCCAAGGGGACGCGCTTCGGAACGTGCCAGTGGACGTGCCATCATGGGACGTGCCAGGGGACGCGCCGCGCGACTTGCCGGAACGTGCCAGGGAACGCGTCAGGGAAAGTGAGAGCTCCATAAGGAAAGCGTACCTCTGGGAGCCCATGCTTTTGCCTGTGCCTGTTTCCTGGAGAAGACGCCGTCGTTTTCTTCTGATGAGTCGACGTACCTCACGAACTGAGCGTTGCATGCGTCGACGCCACTGTCGTTTAGCAGTTTTCATGCGTCAGACCAGCTGAGCAACTATCTGGCCAAATCTGAAACGTTGGAGCTCGGGCGCTTGCCGGTGGATCTCTCCGCCTGGGCCCGAGCGCATGTCAGAGGAGGCCCCGCTGTCGCAGTCGGCCCCGCGCGCGGGCGCCCACGCGGCGGCGGGGCACGCCGCCTGGGACGGCGCGGCGCTCTGCGACGGGCCGGCAGCGCGCGCCAGGGCGCCTCCTGTCCCAGGCAGCTCCGCGGAGCTGGCAGCCAAGGGGTCGAAACCTTGGGCGCGCCAGGGACCATGCGCACCGCTGCTGTTATCATTGATCATGCTCACGAATCCTCCGATGGCGGCACGCGACGGGCGCTGGCGATGTTGTTTGGCGAATGCTCCACGATGCGACCCACTCGCCTGGGCAAAGTCGTGAGTTTGTTGAACTCGGCCTGTGGCTGGGCATCGGTTGCCGCATGGCTGGAGCAGCGCCATGAGTGGGCTAGCTGCGACACCGACCGGTCGGAGCAGCAGCCAGCTGCAGCCTCCCCACGACATCGCAGCTCCACCGTCGTGCGTAGCTCGGAATCGCAGCGTGAGAAGCCGCGAGAGCATCCAAACGGCGGTTTCGTTGCGTCGCCTCGAGACGTCGAAGAGTTCGCGGGTTGCCTGGAGGCGCGACTCCTCGCCCAAGTGGGCCGAACTGCGTGGCGAGGATCGCGATGAGGTATGTCAAGGCGTCCCCTTGCTGTCCGTTGACCACGCCGTGAAGCTTATGGAGCGCGTGAGCTCGCGAGCGGCCTGACCGGGGTTGGGAACGACGGCGGCCCATTGTTGAGCGCTGTCCATGTCGGTGGCTAGCACGCTCCACGCGAGCAAGCCTTGTACCCAGTGGCGGAAAGGATACCCAGAGTCGCGCTCGGGTGACCATGAAAGCGGCTGGCGGGATGGTATGGCACCGCGGCCGCCGCCGTCATGAAGGCTGGCTCCACCAGGCATCGAGCCAGCAAGACGGCCACGAAGAACACGAACACGGCCCCAGAACGTCAAGATGGAGATCCTCTTCGATAAGATCTCACGACGATGGCTGCACAGGCACCGTGGGACTCGGGCCTGCTCAGGGACGAACACCATGTCGGAGTGCGGGGCAGCCCCGATGATGCCGTTATCCACCTCGGTCGATGCCGAGGGTGGTGAAACTGTTACGATGATTTGCAGTGTTCCACTCGGGTGTTGCGGTGTGCTCACAGGGACAGCCAACAATATCGCACACAGACCGAAGCACGGCGCTAGTCCAGGATGGAGGCTCGCAGTCATGCAAGACGCGAAGCTGCGGCCAATGCCTGTGGGGTTGCGATGGGTCGAGGGACGTCGCGGCGATCCTGTGGGCGATTCGCTCCTCATCGCGATTACGCCTTCTCCCTGCCATCGCAGTCAGACCAGATGTCCGACGCGAATTGCCGGATGGCTTGCAGAACAGCCATTTGCACAGGTTACTCAAGGAATGGAAGGTGGTATCGATGCGGAGGTGAAGGTGCATGCGAATATGCGTCCACACCGCACTATTCGCACGTTCCCTGGATCGCGAGCTTGGATCGATCCCAGCACCGCTGCCAATGATTGCGGGGGGCGGAAGCTGTAAGAGAGAAAGCATGGCGGCAATAAGATGCAGATTTGAATAGATATGTTTCGACGCGCTCCGGCCAAACAGCGGCGGCACCTCCATGTTGACTGAGGAGAAAAGAAAGAGGAGAAGGGAAGAGGAGGAGAAAACGGGGAAGGATGAAAAAAATAAAAAAAGAAAAGGAAAAGGGAGGAGGCGAGGAGGAATAGACTAAAGAAGAAGAGAACAAGAGGAGAAGGAAGAGAGGGAGACACCTGGAGGGGAACTGCGAGGACGCACGGCCAGAGACAAAAATCCGAAACGGCGCATTATGATGAGCACCTGCTTGTTTCTTCTCCCTCTCTCTCTCTTTCCCCTGTCTCTCTCTCTCTCTCTCGTTCTCTCTCTTTTTCTCTCTCTCTCTCTCTCTCTCTGTTTTCGGATGTAGCCACGGCCACAAAGACAAAGATCGGGGTACGTGTCGTACCGACTCCAGCAAGGACGTCCCCGCGGTCAAGCTGGAAGATGACCATCGACTATGCAAAAACAAAAAAACATTAAACACACCGAAAAGGTGCTTCCTTGTTCGCTGTGCAACCGTATCGGACCATTGCTTCATTCTGGGGAGGTCCTTTCCTAGGGAGGAGGAGGTGAAGGAGGAGTAGGAGGAGGGGGAGGAAGAGGAGAACGAGGCGGAGGAGCAGGAGAGGAGAAAAAGAACGCAGCAGCCCAGACGCTCACGCATGGTGAACTATGAATACAACGGGACCCAGGCCAGAAGAACATCCCTCAAGAACACGAGACCCTCAGTCGGCCGAATTACACAGAACATGAAAGGGTTCCCTGCCCAGGATGCACAAGAACATCCAACCAACACGACGAAAACTAGGGTACACTCCCCGAACCGACCTCGATCTTACACCTCGGTCCGGCCGTTGGAGGAGGAGGAGGAGGAGGAAGATGAGGTGTTTCCTTGTTAGCTTTGCAACGACAGCTTCTATCTCACCGCATCGGACCATTGCCTCGCTCCTGGAGGTCCTCCTCTCCGCCACGAGGTAGATAAAGCCGCAGTGCGTCGCACTGGGGCAACTCTGGGCGTAAGCATTGTGAACCCCCTCGACAGTGGCTTTGCATGGTCAAAACTAAGACGAAGCCAGGACGATGATACATTCGGGTAAAAATAGATCGGGAATGCCTGAGATCCAGCGGCTCTGGAGGATGTCTCGAGCGCCGCAGAGCGTTCCAGAACGCTCTGGAACGGATTCATCGTCGCCCTAGCCCCGTCTGGGGAAAGCTCCTAATTGATCCTTCCAGTGCAAACATCTGGCCAGCACTTCACATCCTGTACCGCCGCTGATGCCGCTGCCGACAGTCACATTATAGAGCTCTGGTAGCATGCACTGTCAGCCAACACATACCTGCAACAAACGCAGAGGAATGCGGGATGATCTGGTTGACCGTGATTCGTTGGCAGATCGAGCGGTATTGCCTTAAGGCAAACGCGAGGGGAACGAAAGACCCAATCACCGAATCAAGCCCGTAAAACATTATGCTCCTCATCCTTCCACACACTGGAAAGCCCAGAGTCGCATCGATGTCAGATCGGCGGTCGAATTGATTCGGATCGGCGCAATTCGGCACCCGTGTCGGGAAAAGTCGAATCGGCGGAAATCGGCGACCAGTACGCCTCCTACGAGACATCGGAACCCAAATCGGATTCCCGAGTCGAATCGAATCGGAATCGGAAGCCATCGACGTCGAATCGAAACGAGCCCTGACACCTCCTCGGGTGGCGCGGCAGACAAACACGGGCCACCCCTTGATCATTCGACGCATCGCGTGGGAGGTGTCACCAGAACAGCGACAAGACCCAATACAATCGGGCCTAGGCCAGAAGAACATCCTTCAAGAACACGAGACCCTCCGTCGGCCAAAACACACAGAATATCGAAGGGTTCCCTTCCCATGCCCAACCGACCTCGATCTTACACCTCGGTCCGACTGTAGGGGACGGCGAAAACGGAGCCAAGACGGCGCACCAGCCAATCGGGCCGCCGCGACGGCCCTCAGTCCGGTCGCCCGGCCGCCCAGATCATGGGTGCTCCTCCTGGTGCTGCTGCTCCTACTGCTGCTGCTACTGCTGCTGCCGCTGCCGCTGCTCCTGCTGCTGCTCCTCGCCCTCCTCCCCCCTGGCGCCGATTTCGTGGACTTGGTGGACTTGGCTGCGGGCGACGGCGTAGCAGCCCCTGGGGTGGGAGTGCCGTCCACGCCGCGGAGCTTCTGGATTTTGAGTTTCTGGCCGGGCGGGCAGGGCAGGGCGGGGCAGGCACGGAGGCGGAGGGAGGACGGACGCAAGGGGGCGCGACAGTGGCCTCGGCATGGAGGCAGGAGGAGGGGAGGAGTTCCTGCTCCGCTCCTCGTCCTCCATTTCCTGTTCCTCCTCCTCCTCCTTTTCCTCGCCCTCCTCCTCCTCCTCCTCCTCCTCGTCCTCCTCCTCCTCCGCCCTCCCTCCCTCCCTCCCTCCTCCCCTCCCTCCCTCCCCCTCCCCCTACCTCTCTTCCCTCCCTCCCTCCCTCCCTGTTCGCTGGCCGCGGGCGTGGCGCCCCCGCCAGCTTCCGGGGGGCCACCCCGAGCGCGCGTGCCGTCCACCGCGGAGCGCTCCCCCACTCTGGCAGCGACGAGGGACGAAGCGGAAGACGGACGACGCGACGACGGAGCAAGGGGCCCCCCGCGGAGGCGGGGGGGAGAAGGGCGAGAGAGGCCAGCAGGAGGAAGAGGAGGAGAGAGAGGGCAGGCGCTGGCCGCGCGCAGTGGCCGGGACGGGCCGGCAGGGGCAGGAGAGGGGGGTGGGGGAACGGGGGGCGGAGGTGGTCGTGAGGGTCGGGTCGCGGGAGTCGTGAGGGGGGTGGCAACGACCGTAGCGGTAGTCGTAAGATGGTGGTCGTATTGGTGGTGGTCGTGCTGGAAGTCAGCCGTGCTGGCCGTGACTGTGGTGGTCGTGTTGGTGGTCGGCCTTCTGGTGGAGCTGGAGGTCGTGGTCGTGCTGGCGGTTCGGCGGGCGTGCAAGTTAGTGGTTAGTCGTGCTGGCAGAGGTCGTGCTGTTGGCAGTCACGGCGGGCTGCTGCCCGAGGGCGCTGCGGACCATCGCGGCGCTGCCCGTCTGTAGGTCCTTCATCCTACTCCCCCTCCCCCTCAACCACATTCCCCCCGTCCTCATCCCACGCTCTCCACCTGCTTTCCCCTCGCCCGTCTTCCTCATGATCCTCTTTCCTCATCCTCCTCTTCCTCCTCCTCCTCTTCCTCATCCTCCTTCTCCACCTCCCCTCTTTCCCGCCCGAAGCAAAGAGGGGATGAGACCAAAGGATGGTAGAAGCCCTATCGCTGGAGTCATCATGCCTTGATCCCTGGATGCCTGGATGCCCGTCGGAGTGATGGACTTGACGGCGAGGGCACCGCAACGCAGTTGGAAGGCAACTCTAAAGATAAAGGCCCCGATGTAGGCTCGCAGGCGTCGTTGAACGGGGGGGCGATAAAGGAGGGGCAAGAAAGGTGCCCCTTTGAGGGCCCGAAAGGGGTCCCTGTAGAGGCCCTGAGGGGTCCCTCAAGGGCCCCTGTAGAGGCCCAAAGGGGTCCCTTTTCTGCAGCCCTCGCTGCCCCCCATGTATCGCCCCCCCATTACGCGACGCCCAGGAGACAAGAAGCTGGAGAACTCCGGAGCATGTCCTCGAACTCCACCGGCACTCCCACAGGGCGCACGCACGACGGGCAGAACCCATCAGAGATCCCGAGGCGAACATTTGCTGGGGCAGCCGAGCGTCTGCGAAGCGATGCCGCCGGCGCGCCCTGGGGCACAAAGCCGAACGCCCTCGCCGAATCGAACACTAAGAAGATTGATTGCCCTCCTATAGTGGACCACCCGCTTTCCCATGTGCGGCGCGCGGGGCGACCAAGGCTGCGTCGGCGGTTCCACCTTGTGGCTGGCCTCAGTCCGACGTGTGAGTGTCGCACGACGCCGGCCCAATGTTTTATAAACTGCCCGTGCGTGGCATGTATGCCAAGCCTGCGGAACTGTCTCCTGGAACCGCACCAAGCTGCAGAAAGGAAAAGTCCATTCCATCATTGGCATAGCATCCTCGGTTGTCGCTTTCCAGAATGCATCCAAGGAGAGGAAGGACCAGCGGGACCGTTCGGGCAATCTTCACCCCCTCCCCATTCCTTTTTCACATTCCGCTCCTACCCCTTTCCCCATTCTCCATCCCCTTCCCCCTCCCCTGTCCCCCTCACCAACCCCGCAAATGCCATCCAGGAGCCTGTTCTTTTTTTGTCGGGCCGATGGCGGCCGTCATCCGGGGGGGTAGGGGCCGATGACGTCACGTTTCGCGCCGGCGGCGCATATAGAATGCAAGAAGGAGTTCGTATGACAAAGTGGAGCGCCTGTGAACTCCACACAAGAACAATTGTTTTATACAGGAGTTGGAAAAGAATCCTCATGGAAAAAGGAGCGCCGCTGGATTCTACTAGTCCTCCCTAATCCTCCCGCATCATCCTAACTCCTCTATTTTCGTTCAAAAGGTTCCCGCAGAATTGGCCATCCGAGAAGCAAGTGGACTGATTCAACCGACCATTCTGCGGTGCACACGTACGCTTTAGCGCAGACCCGCACGACGGGGGGAGGGGTGAGGAGGAGCAGGAGGAGAAGGAGGAGGAGGCGGAGGAGGAGGGGGGGAGGAGGAGGAGGAAGAGGAGGAGGAGGAGGAAGAGGAGGAGGAAGAGGAAGAGGAGGAGGGAGGAGAAGGGAGAAGGAAAGAACATCGCATTATATTATCAGCACTTCCCTGGCGTGGTGGCTAGCTGTCCGCAGCAGATCCTCACCGACATGTTGCTTCTACCTGTCCTGTGCACGCAGGCACTGTGGTGTACACCAGCGCGGCGTTGCACGCAGATGCTGTGGTGTACACAGGCGTCGTGGTGTGCACAACAGGCGCTGTGATGTGCACAGGCGCTGCGGTGCACGCAAGCATTGTGGTACACAGGCGCTGTGTTGCACATGGTTGCGGCGGAGTAAACATTAGCTGTGAGGTACACAGGCGCTGCGGTGCACGCAAGCACTGTGGTGTACACAGGCACTGCGTTGCACACGCCTGTTGCGGTGTACATAGGCGTCATGGTGTACACGCGCGCTGTGGTGCACGCAAGCACTGTCGTGTACACAGGCATGCTGCTCCTACTTGGCCTCGGTCATCCCTCGACATCCCCAGACCCCGCCGGCGCAGAACGTGACGCCATCTGGGGGGGGGGCGGCCCGATGACGGGCGCTAACCCGGAAAATCTGAAAAAAGGTTCCTTCTCCTCCCGAGAGCATCCCTCTGCGCGTTGCGCGCTGGCCCTGCTCTCGCCTGCCGCGAGCCATGGCCCGTGGCCCACGCCAGGGCCCCGTGGCCTCCCATCCGCCCCCTGCGGCGCCTGTGCCCCGCCTCCCTGCCCCCCGCACCCCCTGAGGCGGAGAATGAGGAGGAGGAGGAGGAGGAGGAGGAGGAGGGAGGAGGAGGCGGGAGAAGGAGGAGGAGGAGGAGGAGGAGGAGGAGGAGGAGGAGGAGGATGAGGAGCGGAGGAGGAGGAGGAGGGAGGAGGAGGGGAAGAGAAGTAAGATGGGAGGAGAGAGAGGGAGGAGGAGGTGAGGAGGGAGGCGGGAGGAATGGAGGGGGGAGAAGTAGGAGACGATGAGGAGGTAGAGGCCACCGGAGGTTTAGGGAGGAGGAGGGGGGAGAAGTAGGAGGAGGAGGAGGAGGAGGAGGAGGAGGAGGGAGGAGGAGGGGGGAGAAGTAGGAGGAGGAGGAGGAGGCTTCTGAGATGGACTGCGCGGCAACGTGTGGCGAGGCCGCCGCACGGCTCGGCGCACCTGTGAGCGTCGCGCTCCGCCTGGCCAGAGCCTGTGCCTGCGCTGCTGCGGGGCCCGAGCCAAACAGTGTTTTTCGTTGGCGTTTTGTTTGCGCTGTGATTCGCTATGTTTTCGTTATGTGAGCGAGCAACGACATATGTACATGTACGCCCTCCGCGATCTTGAGTGCACGAACGTCCTCGTTCAAATGCCCTCCAGGGGAAGCTAACCGCGTACGTGTACATATGTTGCTGGCCTCTGATTATGCCTTCGCTGCGAAACTAAATGAAACGAACACGGTCGACGAGATCGCCCCAGCACCGTTCGGCTCGAGCCCTGCGCTGCTGCGCGAGGCTGCAACCGCAGCGTCGAGGGGGCAGGCTGCATCTCAGACCTCAGGGACGAGGTGCGCCACACTGCCCCTTCTTTTCTCGAATCACTGCGGCTGTAAATCTTCTAGTTGCCGAAAGGCTACGCCATCGTAAATTTGGCGGTGCGCTCAAGGGAGTAGGGAGGAGGGGGAAAGCTTCTTAGAAGAAGGCTGCTTCTAAGAACGCGCCAGCCCTACAACTATAGGTGAGGACCGCGCCTTCTGAGGAGCAGTGGTGCCTCTAAGAATCCCTCCCCCCTCCTCCGAATTACCCCCCTCTGCGCGTGGCTGAAAAAAATCGAAACACCTCTGCGCTCCGAGCACGACGCGCTCCTGTCCTCCCTCGAGTTGGGACGTGACTCTGGCGTGGGACGCACAAAGACATACTAGTACTGCGTCCTCTTTGGAGGCGCGCGTCCGACCCGAAGATGTAGTGCACCCATCCTGTAGTGTATCGTTTCCCGAGCGGTGTGGCCAGAAAGCGCCCGCCACGAGTAAGATTTCTCGGTGCGCGCGTCGCCCACTGGGGGAGGGCGACGCACATATACTATCAGGTCGGGCACGCTCTCCTACATGCGGACTCCAAAGAAAAACGAACAGTCAAAATACACTCACAAATAGTCCAGACAATTAAACAGACAAACAGCATCCCCTGACTATCGTTTGATTATTCTTGAACATTCCTCCTGTACCCATCAGTCGTAAGAAGCAGGTAGAACCCTGAAGTAGGAAGGCGTTGGAAGTAGTTTGGGTTTCCATCCGCCTCCTGAAGAGGAGGGAAGAGGGAAACCCACTCGACTCTTGAAGTAGGAAGGCGGCCAAAGCAGACTGGGAACTGGGGATCCAAAAATACCGACTTTCAACGACCGATGGGTGGAGGGACATGCGGGACGTAAATATAGTACTCGTATGCTGGGGTGGCGCCGAGGGCGGCGCGCACGAGGGGCGTGGGCGCGAGGCTGGCGGCCTCTCCCGAGCAGGCGGCGGGAGGCTGCTGCGAGGGAAGGCCGGGAAGGCCGCCCCGCCGTCGCTCGGGCGCCCAAAGGTCCGAGCCAGGAGGGGCCCCCTGGCTGCCGCCCCCGCGGAGGAGCGCGAGGAGGAGGAGGAGGAGGAGGAGGAGGAGGAGGAGGACGAGGACGAGGAGGAGGAGGAGGAGGAGGAGGAGGAGGAGG